GTGCCAATATTTTTAATGAAAACTATTCACCTTCACAATAATACTACAGCACAATGCATGATAATTTGCACTCCTGCATAATCCGATGCACAAAACAATCATGCTACAGTGATCGAAAATGGTTGACAGAGGGGGTGATCGATCCTCACAATGGCGGCCCACTTTTTATTTTGGACATTTTTGTTTACGAAGGACCCGTGTACATGTGAGATGATGTCCACCATTTGGTCATTCATTTTTGGGCAAAAGTACTTTAATTCTACACAAAAAATAAGGATGACAATAGGGTGGGTTCGGGACGGGGCGCTTCCACCCAGCCCCGTCTCGCCCAAACCCCAGCGGGGCGTCAAGGAAGGGGAACTTTTTGTCCTGTTTAATTTTAATTTTTTTTATATTTTCAAAGTTTCGAATTATGTTATTATTAGAGAATAAAATACAAATTTAAAATAGGTTTTTAACAGGTGAACTGTTTAGAAATAAAATTATTTTCACTTTTTTCTTTTACGGGGTGGGTTTAGAGCGGATTTTTTTGCCCCATTCGGGGCGGGGTGAGGGTTTTTTGCCATAACTAACAAAAAGTAGCTTTGAGTTGCATTACATAATAAAAAATATTTTGTGGTATTTCTATTTATGGATTTGTCAAAAGTTCGACTTACTCGATCACAAATTAAGCTCCTATTTGATTCCCATTTTTGGGATAAAATCCATTGTGGAATAGAGGGTGTTTTTTTTTTTTTTTAAGAATATGTGATTAAAATGTAATGATTTTTATTTGAAATACGTGTATAATTATTTTATAGACAAATGCGTGGTTGAAAATAAATTTTGAAAAAAATGGAGCTCAAATAAGGGCTAAATATTATCTCTACTATATAAAAAGAAGAATATGAAGTTTACTGTAAATATCAACAGTGAATTCTTTCATTTTGTCACACTGTAGCTATTTTTCTAATTGTGAGATCAAAAACGACGTCATTTGTCTTTAATCATTTTTCTATTTCCCACGTCATTTCACTGCAACCATTTCCTCCATTGCAATATTTCTCCATTTTCACACGTTACTTCACCTCATCTAATTGATAAAGAAAAGAAATTGAATGAATTAAAAAATTAAATAACAAAAAAATTACTGACAAAAATCAAAAGAAACACAAAAAAAGTTAGTATAAAGTTTTTAAATTAAATTAAAATAATTAAAATTAAAAATAAATATTATTTAATTAAAATTGAAAAAACTGTGTTTATCGTAAAACAAACAGAATTAAAAAGAATTTTAAATCAAAAAAATTATTTATAATATGAAGAAAAAATAAATTTAAAAATATATATAATAAAAACAAAATATAATCTTTTTTTATCCCTTTTAAATGCATTTATAGTACATAACGATATTGTTTCCTTATGTTGAATGACAAAACAACCTGTTTATTCCATTAATATTTTAAAAGATTAAATATATCTTATATATAATTATAGAAAATATTAATTATTTAATTAATAATAATTAAATCTAGATCAACATATGTCATATTCACTCCTTACCTTAATGTTTGAGATTAAGTTCTTTTTTTAAAAATGAAAAAAAATCAAGATAATGACTAAAATCGAGAATTATCATTCTCAACTCCACATTTAGATAGCATTTCATCCTGTAAAAATTCAAATATTAGAATATTGAACAAGAAATAATTGAATAAAGCACAATCTCAAAAAATTAAGCGAACTTAATTGTAACTATCATTTTGCACTAACACGAATAAAAAAATAAATGATTTAACAAATTAAAGAACAAAAAAATTACAGGCAAAAATTTAAAATAAAAAACAAAAAAAAATGTTATTACAAAGCCTTTTAGTTGCAATGAATCACATGATTGGATTTCACCAAACATTTCGAATCCTTAACAAGTTTTAATAAATCTCCAATTTTGACACTAATAAAAACACAATAAATACAAAACTCGTGCAACGCACGTGACAACGACTAATTTTTTTGAAAGATGTGTAAAAAGGAAAAAAATAGGTGCTGGCAATTTTGCTTGGAGAGTGATTATGTAACCCCTATTTTACTCCCATTTTGAAAAGGGGATAATCGTAGTAGAGGTCCCAAACCTTTAAAATATTACCAGACTTCCCTAAAATCTTTAATTTGTTGCAACTGTCATTTCAAACATTTCGAAATGTTTCTTCAAACTCATTTTAATGTGACAAAAAGACCTCTACTACAATTATTCCTTTAAAAAATTCAACTTTATTCAAACTCACTTATTATGGGAGAGTTTATTTCATTAAAAAAAATATAATAATAATAATAATAAATAAATAAATAAATATTACTACAATGCTATAGTGTTAGAAATTTTTTTGACATAATGGATGACCAACACTCACATTGACGAGGACCCACTTCTCTTTTCGACTTTTTTATTCACGCGGAACCCACGTGTTGTTAGAGGATGTCAACGATTATGTTAAAAATATTCTGACAAAATAGTTTAATTGAAAAAAACATAATATTATTTAACATCATTGTCCAGTAGTGTTAAAACACCAATTAATTAATACTAATATAACTTTAAATGAAATGTATTATTAAATGAATCACTTATTTTACCTTTCATCAAACCTATCACTTAGAACGATCTAAATTGACAATGTAGCTAGATAATACTATTTTCTTTCATGAAAGTACACCAGTGCTTACTGGGGCAAATTTGATGTTCTGTCCCCGCATCTATTGATATAGTAACAATCCGATCCTCAACCTACAAAATAGAGTATAAATTAGTTTTCTCCATATTTCAAAATAAGTGCACCGATGGTACATAAGCCCTCGTTTAAAATACGCGCCCCTTTAGTCCGGGAATGCACAAGCTGCGTGTCTAGCTCAACCATCTAACAATTTTGTCAATATAATTAAAGGCCTAACTAGCATTGAAATTATCTCAAAAAATAATATTAGGTACGTTTGATTGTCATTATTTTTCATTAAAAACATGTTTTTCTACTAAAATTCCTACTTTTGTCTGTTTGATTGTCATTTTTCCATAAAAAATATTTTTCTACTTTTGATCATGTGACCATATTTTCTTTAAAAGGAGAAGAATTTTATTTTTTAGGAAATTCTCTCTCTTATTTACCCGCCAATAAAAATGAACAAATATAACATTTTCTATGTTGAAAATTAAATCAATCAAACAGATTTAATTGATAATTTTCATGCAAATAAATTCTAAACAATTGAATTACCTAGAATTTATTTTATTTCCATACAAATTCCATGTTTGAAATCACACACATTTGGAGTAAATTTATCAAAAATATTAGCTGCAAAAAGTAAATAATAAAACAGTTAAAGAGAATGTCTAACATGACCTCCAAATAAATCTGCATCTCGAGTTGCATGTGGCTAAATGCAATCTCGACGACAATAGCACAAGGCAGGCAAGTCGTCCACGCGACAAGATTGTCCACCGCAAAGTACTATGTTTGTGCTTATGACAAGTTCAATAACCATGTTGCATGAGAAACCTAGGCACCGTACTGACAGTCCATGAACAAAAATGTCATCCTTGGCTATACTTACATGTTTGGTATATTGAATTGGACGACACTAAAAAGCATTAAGCAAGAAAAACGAACGAGTTGAAAAATTTATTTGTTGTCTTAAACATTAATGTCCAATTGCTGATAACAGCGTGTGAAGGGCACCAGGGAAACACAAGATGTAGGGACATAGATGTCAGTTTTCCTTTTATTCCCAGAGGAGACCACAAGGAGTGGAGGTGTGGGCAATTCAGTAATTTATAATTGAGCTCACACTTCAATTTGTGAATTATACAAAATAAATTTCAGTTGTAACAACATCCAGACGTGGGTCCAATAAAATTGAAATTCAATGAAGTACTATAATTTTCACTTCTATGTTGTTCTTTCGAACAATTTTGGCTCCCCCTTTGCCGGGGGTTTAAGTAATCACCAAAAAAACTAAGTCATAGGGCATTGTTTTTAACAGTGCCAGCAAAGTAAAGGCCCTCACAAAACACAACTCTTACACTACATGGATGTTTCAGGTTCCTTTTTCAAAATATATAATAAGTCAAAAATATTTTCAAGACATGCAATGATCCTTTTCATACTGGTAGTATGACATTTGAAACAGAATCTGCAAAAATAACCAGCAAAATACAGAGTGAAATTTCAAATTTCCAAGACCGTGACAATTTTATAACATCCAGAATTTGTTCCCACAACACTAATGTACAAGCCAAAAAGGGTCAGTCCAAAAAATAAGAATGGATATCAAAATTAAAAAGTAGAACAATCTGACAAATGAATTGCTGGTGTCGTTTTGATCCCAAGATATAACACCACCTTATCAATACATTATCATAATAAAGGTTTAAGAATTGCATAATGTAAACTTAGCCCAAAAATATGTGAAAGGTACTTATGGTGAACATTAGGTTTAAAAAAGTTCCTCGTTGCTCCAAAAACCTTCCAGCGTTATCAGTGGAATCATCTAACAATGCACTGTCATCCAAGACCGCATTCCTTTCATTTGAACATTAGGTTTTAAAAAAGTTCCTCGCTGTTCCATAAACCTTCAAGCATTATTGGTGGAATCATCTAACGATGCAGACCGTCATCCAAGACTGCACCCCTTTCATTTCCAAATTGGAAAGTAGTTTGATATTTTTTACTTTTTCCAATTTTTTTTTTTTGTGGGTGGGGAGAAAGAACATTTAACTAAAAATAATTTCAAGAGTCGGGATGTGTCAGGTCTTACCTTGGATTGGAGACCAATTATAGATGACTTCAACAGCTGATCCCCTACTATCAATCTCAACTTTCTAATAAACTCATCTCGCGTGATTTTCTTGATCTATTGTAGTGCCAAAGAAGAGGGATCAAAGAATAATCGAAATACAAAGAAGAGAGAAATGAAACGGAATCCTTGGTCATAGATTCCTTAACATACCCTGAACAAGGCATGTAAAAATATTCATATTTTTGAACCCTTTTGTTCATTTTTATGGTCAACGGCGTCCCAGTGTAATACACTTCTCAAAATGCACATTCAAGTACATATCAAATAGTTAATTCAAACTCCTCCATGAATGTAAGACCCTGGCACCTCTCAAATGCACATTCAAGTACATATGCAATAGTTAATTCAAACTCCTCAATGAATGTAAGACCCCGGACAAGTGTCCTAACTATTGTCCAGGTACCGAATGTTTGACGTAGTACTTTATGGTAGCAATACAGGTATAAGGTACACATCCTTCCCTACTAAAGAAGTTAAAAAGATAATAATTTAACAGCGTGTGAAGGGCACCAGGGAAACACAAGATGTAGGGACATAGATGTCAGTTTTCCTTTTATTCCCAGAGGAGACCACAAGGAGTGGAGGTGTGGGCAATTCAGTAATTTATAATTGAGCTCACACTTCAATTTGTGAATTATACAAAATAAATTTCAGTTGTAACAACATCCAGACGTGGGTCCAATAAAATTGAAATTCAATGAAGTACTATAATTTTCACTTCTATGTTGTTCTTTCGAACAATTTTGGCTCCCCCTTTGCCGGGGGTTTAAGTAATCACCAAAAAAACTAAGTCATAGGGCATTGTTTTTAACAGTGCCAGCAAAGTAAAGGCCCTCACAAAACACAACTCTTACACTACATGGATGTTTCAGGTTCCTTTTTCAAAATATATAATAAGTCAAAAATATTTTCAAGACATGCAATGATCCTTTTCATACTGGTAGTATGACATTTGAAACAGAATCCAGATCCTTGATTCTGAAGTTCTAGAAATGAAGCCATTGGTTTGAAGAAAAACAATATGGCCAGTGACTGAAGAAAACCTATCATCTATCTTATCTTAGGGATAAAAATTGACTAATAAATTTGACAAGTGTCATATATCAACAGTGTATTTATGTAACTGGAGGACAAATAACAATTTTTTATTATTTTTTATTTTTTATTTTTTGATAAGTGACAAATAACAATGGTTTCTCCAGTATCCACATAAGTAAGAGTGTAAGACCAAAAGCAACATGCCAAAAATGTCACATTATATGATGAACCCTATACAGAAAATGTTAGTCGAAATACTTACTTAATACGCATATGTACTTGGAGTATCTATCTTATCTTAGGGATAAAAATTGACTAATAAATTTGACAAGTGTCATATATCAACAGTGTATTTATGTAACTGGAGGACAAATAACAATTTTTTATTATTTTTTATTTTTTATTTTTTGATAAGTGACAAATAACAATGGTTTCTCCAGTATCCACATAAGTAAGAGTGTAAGACCAAAAGCAACATGCCAAAAATGTCACATTATATGATGAACCCTATACAGAAAATGTTAGTCGAAATACTTACTTAATACGCATATGTACTTGGAGATTGAATTGAAGAAAGCAACATAATGGCACACAAGAAATACCTTTGACACCAGGAGGTACCCTGAAGCTAATAACATATTCTGGATAGATGTGTGTGTTCAAATTCATATTCCAAATAATATAATGACTCGGATTCTTCAAATCATCAACACCATTGTCATATATTTCTTCACTGGGATGCCATTGTTGAGATCCAGGAAGCAAGAGTTCTGTATTTCCTAATATGACGCGACAAAGCACCATATGTTGCACTCCATTTTCGTCAACATCACAATAACTTGCACTGATACAAGCAAAAGATGAATACTTCCAAGAAAGAACACTAATAGCAAATATAAACAAAGGAGAAAGATGTAGGCCCTCTCCTATCATGATAGTTCAATGCATACGAACAAACACCTAATTAATTATCGACAGCAACAAGAATTATTATTATCTAAACTATTAAGTTTGTATGTACCATAAATACAAGTATACAACTTTGCCTGAACATAATGCAAATAGAAGAATGTTATTCAAACCTGGCATAGGAACTATTTACAGCAGTAAGGTGAGCTCCATGACCATATTTGGTCGTAAATTCAGGTCCCCCATGCCCAAACCCGTACATCATAATGCTAGGAACTGTATGTTTGGAAGAAGCAAGCCAAGCATACTGAATATTTGGGTTCCCGCGATACATTTGTGTGATTTCAACCTGCTTCTTGAATATTTCCAAACGGTTTTGCAACATGTTACTAAAGCATTTGCTAATTTCAACAATTTCCACTTTTCCAAGTGGACTCATACCCATGAGAAACATGCTTCTTACAGCATCTGAATCAACAGTTTTAAATGCAGGTTTGAATTTAGAAGAAATTTCTTCTCCAATCAGTTTGTTTTCGTCAAAACCCTGTCCTCTTTTTGCATCAGATATTTGTTTATCTTTGTAGTCACCAGAAACTTCAGAGTTATTTTGGAGATGTTTTTGGTTAATTTTCACCTTCTTTGCACGGACATTAGATTCTTCCACACATTCCTCCATATTACAATTATTCAGTCCATTAACTCCTATGTCAAGATGCAAATTTATTTCAAAAGCCCCATTTTGGTTGTCACCAACAAATTCTTCGTCTCTTTTAGTCTCAGTTAAACAGTTATCATGCATTTCAACATTGGCAGAATATATCTCTGGAAGGAAACATCTATTGGCTTCATCGATCCATGCAATAGGCTTTTGTAAACCTGTTTCCAAATCTACTTTAACCATATGTAGAATATCTAATATTATACGAGAATCGCTAAGCTGTACCTCTATTGCAGCCTTCTTTGCCAGAAAATCTTCTTTTACAGCATCAATAACATCCTGAGGAAAACTATTCCATTCGCCATTCTGATAAAAGAGCAGGCATTTTGGCGGTCCACTTTTCATGAAGTTTGAGTAATTTTTTAGTAGAGATTTCTTCAAGTGTGAGTCACACTTTGTTTGGCATTCATCTGTTCTTTTCCTCTTACCAAGCTTGTTAACAATTGAGTTGGACTGCACACTAGATCCAATCCTATGTGCCCAATTTTTCTTCGAGTCAACAACAATCTTACGACCATTACCTAATATCAGATTGACCGACTTTGATTCCATCTATCTACAAGAATAATTATATTTACAAACTCGGTTTCAAAAGGATAACTAATGGAGTAAAGTATAAACACTGAAGAAAATATCGCGGGGAAACACTTCCATGAAGAGAAAACTGCAAATCCTGTCAAGGCAAAAAATCAAATAACAAAATTAGTTACTGGAAGGCATCTAAAAAGCATCATTTCCGTATGTATATCAAATTTTCCTTCAACGTGAATCTTCCGACCATTTGTCAGCGATGCATATCTTGACAACTAATGACACTAGATGGAGAAGAACGAACAGTAGAAAAAATATCAGACAAACGATTCCAACTAAGGTTTTCCAACAAAAAAAAAAAGAAAAGGGGGAAGTTGATGCTCACAATTAATAAGCGGAAAAGCCTAATTAGATCATTGGCCTCAGAAAGTTAATGAAATGATAAAGAAGTAAACACAAATAGCTATAGAAAAGATAGATCCAGTAGGTTTAAGTGATAATGTTAAGTATAAACTGTATGATAAAGTACAAGGAAACGCCAAACTTTCAGTATAAAAGATAAAAGCAACCACGTGTGGCAAATAACTTGCATTGTTACTTACCATATTCTCCAATAGGTGGTCATATGGTGGTCATATCTGTACAAGCTCCTTTGCGCCATAACAGTGATGTAAATTCGACTAATTATTTCCCTCTCTGTGACTACGAACTAACTAACCGCTAACGGCACCGGTACAATTACAATCCTCTAAAAGGGAAAATATTGTCAGTGTGTCAACTTTGGATAAATCAATTAATTAAATACATAATCAAAGAGATAAACATACAGCAACGACACTTACATAAATAGACATAAAAAAATGATCCCCGTGTTCGGAATAAATAGTCCACAAATCCGTCAAAACAAAGAAACAAAATCCTGATCCGTTTTTACTTACATGGTAGGAATTTTCCACTCTGGAGTGAAGAATAGCACAAATTCAAAATATTCAACTTCAGCAGAGGTTACTCTCGTCTCAAAACGAGAAAAGGAACTTGAATATCAAATAAAGTTCATGTCCTTATTCTTCTTCTAAGAGGGACATAACACTCTAATCTTACTCACACACACACAGAGAAACCCACTAGTATATAAGATGTGAGAAATCGGGCCAAATTTTAGTGTGTAAAACATTTTATAAAAAAAAATAATAAAAAATAAAAAAATCTCACAAATCCAGGCTTTTACTAGAGAAAAATTACAGACAGCTGCTCATTTCAACCATAAAGAAAAAAAACTCTGATGTACAAAAAGAAAAAAAAAAAAAACCCACAATAATTAAAAACCTACCATATTCAAAGCGAGACCTCAGTTAAAAAATCATCCCCAACAAGCACCTAAAGAAAGTCAAACCATCCTAGATCTACAAATAAATAAAAAATATCAATTTCCAAAATTCGTAAGCAAGTCTTCCAAGCACATAATTTCCCACTAGTAGAATAATTAATGGTCCTAACACCAAAAATAGTTTTAGAAAAAATAAAAAATTTTATATTTAAGTTATTTGATTGTTAAATCAAATTTCAGCGTTTAAACTCATATTTAACTTAAAGAAGACAGCTTTACATCAAAAAACATGGGAGAAACGAATATAAACCCGGATCTATACAATAACTCAGAAATCAAACGCCACTAGAAAATTAAAAATAAAAAATTACTTAACACAATTTAAAAAGAAATTACCTTATAAACATAAATCCCTTCACGGATTGATCTTGATTCTGTCACCTGAAAGTTTTAATCTTGGGATACGAACGACTTGTGTGAATAATTGAGAAAACGACGACGTTAAAGAGCGGCGTAAGGCGATATTGATGAGTTCATGAATTATTTGATGATTTTATTTATATAATTTATTAGATTATATATTTTTTCTGGGTCTGACCTGATTTGGTATAAATCTTTTTGCTTGGAGGAAAAGAAAGAAGGAAGAAAAGTTTAGAGAGAGAAAGTGAGAGGAAGGGTGGCATAGACCGACAACCTCCTCGCAGTCGTCTGAGATTAAGGTCAGATGCTGTGCTTGGTTGGACGGATTAGAAGGGTAGAAATGACTTTTTATCCATTTCGAGCTGGGATAATTCACTTTCAACGAACTTTGCTCTCTTTCAATAAAAAAGACAAAAAAAAGGATAAACCCCAATTTTGAGGGTCCCATCGTTTCGTACCTGGAGTATCGTGAGTGAGGTAAATCGCGGGATGTGTCCCAACAAATAAGGGAATAAGAATTTGCCCTTACACTGATATCCACAAAAAATTAAATTTCATATCTTAAGAATCGAACCCTCACACTATAACTGTCAATAAGGCTGAAACTACCTTATCCTTGTCTTTTCCACCACTAGATTATGTCCCGGGGCGAACTTTGCTCTCTTTCAATTCCATTTGAGATAGTCGACTAATAATAATTGAATAAAACTATTTGTACATTTTAGATTCAAGTTATGGTTTTCAAAGAAAGCATGATTATGAGAAATGTGACTTTATTAATGAAGCATTTTTAATCGGATTAAGACACGTGACTGGCCGTCAATTGTTGGATTCTAAATGGTCCTATTATTTGTTTGTGTCGTTCCACTTAGCACTTGAAAGATTTTTTTTCGTTTGATTGATACTGGATCTTGGTTTTATAGATAAACTCTGTCGACTATTAGGGTTCCTTCTTCTATGTCTTTCATCTTTCAAATTTTTATTTGAGATTTACGATCGGTAATACTTGGCCTCTAATTTGTGATATCCTAAGTGAATATTTATGAGGATATGAGGGGTTTTTTTTTTTAAGTTTCATTTTTCGGAGGATTTAAGAAGATTCTTGGTGATTTTTTGTAGATCGGTCATTGTATTTTGAGAGATAAGTGTTCCGACTTTATCTTTGTGCATTGATTAAACATTTGTAACTTTTCGTTGTCATTTTGGGCTATTTAGTGCAATTGAGTATAATCCAAATTATTGGATGCTCAACAGGAGATGTAGGTGATGAAAGTGATCCTCGAATCTCAAGAGCTTGTGTTGAATCTTTTAATGTCTGCACTTTTATTTTTTGTAAGATCATTTATTAGTGCTTCTTGACACTAATATTGTATGAACTTGGTCCTACAGTACAATTGTTGTCGACAATTGTGATTAATAATATTGATATTGTCAAAATCTAGATCATTGATTTAAAATAAATGAATGTGATATTGTCAAGTGTGTGTTATCTATCAAAATTATAAAAAAATATATATTGTACAAGTAGCATGAAAAATAATAATTTGCAAAGTAGTTGTCATTTGATCAATAGACTCATACTGACTTCTAAATAATATAAAAATCATATCTCTTCGTGTTACTTTGTGCATTGATTAAACATTTGTAACTTTTCGTTGTCATTTTGGGCTATTTAGTGCAATTGAGTATAATCCAAATTATTGGATGCTCAACAGGAGATGTAGGTGATGAAAGTGATCCTCGAATCTCAAGAGCTTGTGTTGAATCTTTTAATGTCTGCACTTTTATTTTTTGTAAGATCATTTATTAGTGCTTCTTGACACTAATATTGTATGAACTTGGTCCTACAGTACAATTGTTGTCGACAATTGTGATTAACAACATTGATATTGTCAAAATCTAGATCATTGATTTAAAATAAATGAATATGATATTGTCAAGTGTGTGTTATCTATCAAAATTATAAAAAAACATATATTGTACAAGTAGCATGAAAAATAATAATTTGCAAAGTAGTTGTCATTTGATCAATAGACTCATACTGACTTCTAAATAATATAAAAATCATATCTCTTCGTGTTACATTAAGCCCCGTTTGGCCCATTAATTTTGATTATAATGGGTGAATAGTATTTTTTAAAAAATAGATGATTATAAAAGAATGAAAAATTTTCGTTTTATGTGTAATATTATTTTATTGAAGATTGTGTGATTAAAAATAGGAGAGAGAAATTTAATTTTATTTGGTGAGATGTAATGGGGGCTAAGATTGCATTTCTTCTTTTTAATCAACTAGTGATGCAATCAAATCTATCAGGCAAAAGGATTTCAATCGAGAGGATTGCTTAATTAAACACATTTGAGGTGTCAAAATGATCGATCGCTTCGATCTTTGCACGAAAGCCTTTTTCTTCTTAACATTACCATTTAATTTTTTTTTTTTTTTTTTTTTAAATACAAACATGATAGGCTTTTTCATTGCCTGTCATATGTCCATAAGAGAGATGGATGAGGCCTTACTATGGTCGAGTTGAATTAGTCCATCTATTTCAAAATCTTTGCATGTATCATAGGATGAAAGGTGAGAATGAGACAATACGTCCAAATCTTGAAGAAATACGAAACCAACAAACGACGAAAAAACTTAAGGAAATTTCTTGGTGAGGCATTGTTTGGGGAGAAAATTTAAAAAAAAATTAAATAAATATAATTACTTGGGTTCATTAATTTTATTATTTTTGATATACCTTTTTATAAATTATAATGAGTTTGTTCACGTTTTGATTTGAGTTGGGATCTATTTCGACCAAGTCAATTGAACAAACGTACAATGGTTGGTTAAGCTTAAGAGTATGGGGAACATAGCATGATGAAATTGTCAAATGATAGAATTTCTCATATTATCAGATTAGTTTGAGAGTTTCTCAATAATATAAAGAGAGGTGCATATGAAAAGGAATAAGAGAAGATTGATAGAGAGAGTTGACATGGGGACATTATTTCTCATAAGAGGATTATTAATAAAACGATCATATCGTCAAAGAAAAGAGTCCCATGCTCGTCTTGACACTAAAATGTGAAAGTGTGACAAAAGAGGGTGGTTGTGATGTAAAATAGTTGCTAGGGTGGTGCCCACTTGGAAATAATTGAGCATCTATATCTTTCAAGTTGATTAGATTCTTGATTCTTATGCGGATGCCTTGACACCTTAGCCATTAATATTGACTATTGAGGGAGTAATAAAAGGAAAATTTCAACCCTCAACTCATTACCTATAGATTCATCTTGTCATGCAAGATTCATACTTGGCAATTTTTTATTAGATGGTTGAAAAATATTTTTGACACAATTGACAATAAAAATCCTGTTAAGTATGAATTTAATATGATTTTGATAAAATAAATTCGTACATGTAGCATATCTCAGGAAATTTAGCTCATACCTCAGTTACATTTAGTTTTTTTTTTTTTTTAAATTTCACATTCCCAGATAAAATAATTTTAAATATGAATTTATAATTTTCTACTTTTTAATCATATATTATAAAAAAAAAATTGACAAAATCTAGCCTAGAAAAATTTGACTCAAACAAGATTTAATAATATTGGTTTCTAGACCATCTCATTATGCTAGAGAAATTTCTATTGTTTCATCTTCAATCAATCAAGAATGGGATATTGAGATAAGTATAGACTTTTAACTTCTTCTTTTTACTATTACTAGTCTCATGCCCGTACAACGCACGGGCTGTAATTTTTCTTAAGGTAATGTTGGTTTATGGCAAAATGAAAAATGCATGATCCTACTTTTGAAATGAAACATGAGATATCCATAATAAAACAATGTTAACCTTATAACATAAATTATAAAGAAGAATCAATACTCTAGTCATAAGAAGCGGAAAAGATTTTAGTAAATTAAAGCATCTCAGATTGATCCTATGGTTTGTGCTTCTTACAATTCTTATAAGCAAAACAAAAAAGGGGCCCCCAGGGCACATCTCCAAGTGGTAAAAGGGGAGGGTGGAGAAATCCAACTTTGCTTGAAGCTGTCGCGTTAAGGGTTCGAATCCTGAAATATGAATTTGGCTCTTGGGTAAGTGCAAGTGTACAAGCAGCCTTCCACCCTGTATTCTTGGAGGCATAACCTGCGATTTACCTCCCTCATGATGCTCCAGGGCAGGGGCGGTGGGGGACCCTTAAGGTTGGGGTTCAACCTTTTTTTTTTTTAAGAAAGACACAAAGGGAATAACAGACGCATATGAAACAACCATGTACATGGAGGAACACCTGTGTTAGTTTTGCCTTCATATAAAACTAATTCAGCTTGAACTCCAGTTCTTCAAGGAGTCTCAACAAAACTTTTACTTGAAGCAAAATTTGTTAAAAGTACATTTTTATAGCCTATAAAACACATATGAGCTCTTTTACAATTGTTCAAAGTAATCTATTGAGTGAAAACATTATTTTCTTTTAAGAGACAGTGAAGTTTGAGTATTTGATTTATTACGTAGAGGGCGATGTATTCAGTTTGGGTAAATGGGACCATCAACCGTCTTTTGTGTGGCTGGAGGACATTTATCGACAAGAAGTTTATGGTATAAGCATAAGAATAATGACAAACTTTGGGCATTTTACCTTTGGTGCGCCTTTACTCACTTGATGCAGTTTATTAGCTGGATCATGTATGCTAGAACCGTTCCTTTGTCCATTAGATTGAATGGGAGGAAGTGAACTTATGTGATTCCAAAATGTGCCTTGCAAAAAATAGTTGAATCAAAAGAAAATTATTTAGTACTTATGAAGTCATTCTCTATTTAAATTCATTCATCGTTCTCTATTCTTTTGTATTGTATAAGCATCTGATATTCTATATCATCCAAGGACATTGACAATGGGTGGATTGCTGTGTATTAAAATTAATTAGAAGTAATGAATTTAATTCATTAAGAGCAAAAATTAATTCAATACTTAGCAAACCACTGTAAAATGAGAAAATGGAAAATAAAGGATATCATAAATACCTTGCAGCAGCATTGAAACCCACAGATATCATAAATACCCATCCAAGGACTATGTCATTGTATATTAATTAATTAACTAATTATTTTAATTTTTCAGAACATGAAATAATTTTTGAAGTGGACAAGAGAATGATGAAATTTAGCCTTACCAAACAGACAGGGAGTCCAATACAATTTCAAGATTGGGAAGCAAACCAATAATAAGAATTAAAATATGAAAGTATCAAGTCTCCAGACAGAGCATACTCTTTTCCTTTGGATCCCCAACAAGTACTTGTGTTTTCGGTTTAAC